AATGACATTTAATAGGACATGGATCAAACATGTTCACAATATACAAAACATAAACTGCCTCTATAGATTTAATACTCTTCTGTATGAACTGAGGCTGATGATGGATTGTTGATATTAATGACAGTCTGAGAGGAAGCTGAATATGTATGTGTTTGTTGTGGTGGAGGATAGTGTAAATGTTTTAATGACTATATAAAATAAAAAAATTAATAAAAAAGATCTATTAAAAACAAATGTAGTCCAAGTATCACAATATTAAAGTAACGTAACTTGATTAGTTTCAGTTACTTTTGGATTACCTCATCACCAAATAGGGAAATAAAGACAAGAGCAAAGAAATATTAATGAGATGACTTTTACATAGACAACAGAACAATGTAACTAAATAACTAACTAAATAATGTAAGGCTCTCTGCTCAGTATATATATATATATATATATTGAATTGATAGTGACAGCTGTAAACTGACAGGAAAGAGGGTGAGAGAGAGGGGGGGATGACATACAGCAATGGGCCACAGGTCAGAGTCGAAAACATGGCCGCTCAGTGTATTTTTAAAGAAAAACTCATTATTTATTTTAAAATGTATTATAATCCTGCTAATAATCCCCATTTACTTAAATTTAACTGTAATCTGATTACATTTTTTTCTGTAACTGTAAAACATTACAGTTATGTATCCTGATTACATTACTCAGTTATATGTAATCCATTACTCCCCATTTATCCTTTTTATTTATTTTTTTAGTGCCACTAATTTCTAGTTCATTGTCCATTTTATCCTATTGTAATTTAAATATGTAAATATCTGTTTATACCCTGTGTGGAGGGGGCAAACACTGCATTTAATTTTGCAATCTTGTATTAAACTGACTATAAAACTGAACCTTGAACCAACATCAAGGCTATAGCCAGAATATGAGAATGGTACAAGACGAAGCAACAAGCTGTTGCTTTGTAATAAGTTTTAAAATACAGTTCTTATATATGTTGTCTATGTTTTGAAATCAACTGCAGACTGTGGCTCAGGTCTAACGGAAAGACCCTGTTCATAAAGCCTCTTCACATTGTCAGGAACTGAAGCAGCCACTGTGGACAGACGGAGAGCAGAAACAGAGAGTCAAAAACTACAGTTCAGGTGCAGGTCAGTGTGAACACATAACAGAGCACATTTGATGAGGTACTCACAGAGTTGATCCCTCTGTCTTTCACCTCTTGACTGGTCTCTGATTCATACAGAGCTGAGGAGAAGAGAAGAGGAAATGACTACCATGCAGTATCTTTTGCAAAGGCTCAACATTTAGGAACTTCTGCATCGAGTTTAGAGTTTGTTTTTTTTAAAACTGAGATCCAGGCAAGAGTTTATTTAGTCATAGTGCAAATATGCATGAAACCTGTTAACATGTAAACAAACTGAGCATATCAGTCATCTAAAAGCAAACTGCAGAACGTCACACACCATGATCATATCACAGGATATATGACATCATATCACTGTGTTGCTGTTGAAACAGTAAAATCATAGAAACAGTTTCCTGTATTTAGCAGCGGAAGATGTACTCTACTCTATCCTTTACTTGAGTAAAAGTACCAATACAAAAATGTAAAAAATACTCCATTACAAGTAAAAGAACTTTATCCTACTAAAAGTTGATAGAGAGGATTTTGCTGATAATTCTATATCAGCTAAATATATTTAAAGTTTTAAAAGTAAAAGTACCCGTTCTGCAGTGTCCACTGTGAGTGATTTATTATAATGTGTTATATTATTAGATTGTTAACACTGATGCAACATTGGGAAAGCAGCATTTTACTGTTACAGCTGGTCATGAGGGAGCTAGTTTAGTTTAACTACTTTATGTACAGTTTGCTAGTTTAGTGCAGTGGTTCCCATCCTAGGTATCAGTTCCCTCCAAAGATTAATTAAATCATTAATTAAAATTAATCTGAGGGGATGAGATGATGTTCTGTTGCACAAATCTGAAGTAGTTTTCTAATATTTGCTTTTTTTTGTGAAACATTGTATAATTTTACAGTTATTTAAACCATGTAAGGAATTTAGAGGGTACATTTTCTTTATTTGGAACTGCTAACAACTCATAGACATCTGAAACACACAAACAAACCCAATAACTAATTCCTGAGTAGATGTTACTTTATTTTGTGTCTATATACCAAATTCTATGATTTGAGTTTTTATAACTTTTGGGCAAAGTTCACTGATTAATAAATTGATCTTACACAACCAATTAGCTGGTACATTCAATATTAAGTGCCTGTAAATTTGTACTATGTGGCAGGTTTAGTGCAGATGGGTCAAAAAGATACTACAGAGCTTCCTGAAAACAATCAGATTAATCTGAGTTAACCAGCTGGTGTCATCTCATGGATACATTTCTTCATTATTAATATTTTACAATACAAATATAAATTACCATTTTAATCCCTGTAGTGTTTTTATGGTTCTTTTCTTTTTCTGTAAAGCACTTTGTAACATAGTTAGGAAAGGTGCTGTATAAATAGAGTTCATAATGTGTGGCGTAGATGCATTGATGGATGTGTGTGTGAATCTGTGTGTGTGTGTTACCAAAGAGTTTGCGCAGCCTGGTGACACATGACACGAAGCCATGAAAGGGCATGTGAAGATCTCCAGATGCAAACCGCACAGACAGCAGTTGAATTACCTTGTTATCACACTGCATACCTGGGGAACAGAGGAGTGGACGAAGGTGTGAAACCAAATGACAGCAACCATCTGTGTGCATATAGTGGTGTGGCGTGTGCATACCAACAGCTTGCAGCGCTGTACTGAGCTCAAAGGGGCTCATGGTCCCAGAAGAGTCCTCGTCAAACTGCACAAAGATGGACTGAAAAAAAGAAAGCAGCATCAGAATAAGTAATTATGACACAACCGTCTGTCTTTTCCTGTCTGTAACGCACACACTGAGCTGTACCTGCAGATTGCGCAGACTGGACAGCAGGGTTTCTGTTTGTTTACGGCTGAGACCGGAGAGCCCTTTAGTCTGTCAGCAGAGTTAAGGACATCTCAACAGGACAGGAGATGAAGTTATGAGGAACAGTTGGGTGGCTTGATGACTCAGCCGGAGGACCCGGGGTTTTAAACTCTTTCGTCAGCGAGCATCTGCCCCGATGAAGTGTAAAGCGAGCAGATCAATCAAGTTTTAAAACAGCAGAAGTTATAATGTTAACTCATAAATAATAACTTGAATACACCAGATCTGTACTGTAGAGTCGACTGCAGTGATATTGAAGAATATACTGAGGACAGAAGGATACATCCTCTCCAAAGATGAGCTGCCTGCATGTCTCCAGTGGCAGATGGTAATCTTTGACAAGAGCTGCGATTAGGGAAGAGAGCCACAGATTCATGCAGAGAAAGAAAAAATAAGCATTTAAATTGGATTAAGTTGAGGAAAGGTGAAGGTGAGGACAAGTTTAGTCTTTTAACCCAGCTCAACTGTACTTTATCTGACTGCAGCTATGAGCCTCCGTCTAGACTGGTGACCTCTGCAGCTCCACTGTTCCAACTTTTTGGAACATGTCACTACTTTGCTCCCACCTAGCGGCCATTACAGGTATTATACAGGCAAAGATCACTTGAGGTGAAGGTTTGTGAAGCTTTGTGTCATTTTCAGATGCTGCTATTAAAAGAAATACATGATACTGGAACCTGAATTGAACAGCGTCATGAGCTCCTTGGCATTCAGTCTGTCATCCTGCAGGGGAAGACAGATGAAACAGGTTTGAATTGTTTAACCAAAGGCCCCTGAAGTTACACATTTATTATGTAAAGTAATGTGCAATGAGGAGTAATTCTTACTGGGCCAGCCTCCTCATCAAAAGTCTTCTGAACTCTCACGTGATCCTCCGGGGAGATGGGAGCTGCCATAACCTGTTCGGCACAAACATGTCAAACATAAACAATATTGTTCTGGTTAGCTGCTATTGGCTGGTGCTTTAATGTACACAGACTCACCGGGAGGTAGCCGGAGGAGCAGGTAAAGTCCTCAGTCCTGGAACACACAAGATCACATTGCAGTGTTGCTCTCTTAAATTATACTTTATAACCGTTTGAACACTCATTCAGGTCCTTTACTTAAGTAAAAGTAGCAACAACTTTTTTGAGACTTCAGGGCCTCTCCTGTTAACTTTGTTGCAGGACAAGTTACAACTTTATTCTTCTTATAGTAAGTGACGACATGTAAACCCAAACAGAATTTTGCATAACTCCAAGCTGAGAAGGTTTTATCAGCCTCACAACATCTATGACGAGATATTTCACAAGTTGATCTTGTGTTTTATATGTAAAATCAAAGTAACTATAGCTGTTAAATAAGTGAAGTGTTTTAATATTTCCCTCTGAAATGTAGTAGAAATATAAAGCGTAAATACTCAAGTTAAGTACAAGTGCCTCAAAACTGTGCTTAAGTACAGCACCTGAGTAATTTTTCCACCACTGGAAAATAAAGATGATTATTATAGTCGCAGTCAAACTACAACTGCTCTCAGCTGTATAATTGACTGTTGTCGCTAACAGAAGCCATGAGTGGTGGTTTTAATATAATTCAAAATTACACATTAGTACAATGTTGGGAACACGAGCTAAGTTTGAGTGTGGGTGACTATGACTATGCTGTTGAAAGTGAATGAGGTAAGAGGTGATTCAGGGATGCCATGGAGCCCTCAGGAAGTGTTGTTGGTCTATGATTTTAAAGAATATCTATGACAGAAGGAGATGCACACACTCAACATTTACAGGAGGTGGTTCATAAAAGGAGCTGTTTTTCTGACACCAGGCTATTGGTATTATGGTGAAAAATGTCATTCAGCTACAGTAAGAAGTATTTTCTGTTCCTTTCCTTACCCCAGAGTGTTTCCAGTCTTGGAGAAAATGCGAACAAAGAACTCTCCGGTCTGGTTGGGTCTATAGGTGGACGCCACGATGATGTAGTTACCCGGGTACAGATGCAGCTTCCTCCACACACCCCTGAAGGACAAAGTTAATTAGTTATATTCACTGACTTCCAAAAAGTTATCAGCTAAACCTCCAATAATCCACTAAAATCGTTTGGTCCAATTCTATATTAAAACAATACATGTTTTATATAGATAGATGTATGTTGTATTGTCTTTTTTATGTGTTTTTGGCACCCCTGGCCAAATGAATCTTCTTCTTTTGGTTAATAAAGTAACATTTTATTTGATCATATTTAAATTTTCTCACCAGATAAAGAAACATACTTAACATAAAAATAGTGACTTCAGATCATTTGAATTATACCTCAATTTTCAGGGACTCTGGGACTAAAAGCATTAGTCATTCATTCTCCTCTTCAAGCTTTTGCATTCAGTTGGAGAATTATTTCTTGTTTATTTTTAAAATAACAGTTGCATGCAGAATGTTGACTGATGAATTAACTTTTTGGATTTGGAAACAAAAATAAAATGATTTAAAAAACACACAGTGACATGATACACTCTTATTAATTTTAGAGAGAAATTAATAGAGGTGAATCCTTCTGCTCTTTTGTCCTGAACATAATGAACTTAGCAGAAAACTGCATTGTTTCAGATCTTTCTATCAGTATAATATAGGGTCAACAGGGAAAAAAAAAAAATATACAGAAAAACTGCTATTTAATGACAACTTTGAGTGCTCTTGGGGCTAGCGCCATTACAGAACAGCACATAATGCTGCTTCGAGATGGCCTCATGAAAATGACGATCCAAAATAAATATACATTTGCCAAAACCTAAAGCACGACTGGATTGGGATGAGGGGGGGGAGGACTCAATGTAGGAACAACTGACTGATGACTAGCCACTACACTGAATGAAGCAAATTAGAGGCACAACTTGTAAGGAAAAGAACCTTGGATTACACTTGATTAGCACAGTATATAAGAAGAAGAAGAAGAAGATATACTTTATTGATCCCCTAGGGGGAAATTGTTTCAATAAACAGTCCCTAAAGGTACCAAGTAAAAGCATCAGCACCAAATGTTCAGCTTTTATAAATATTAATTAAATAATTACTAATAAGCACTTATTTTGTCCTTTTACCTCTGGGCCATATATTTCCCAGAGCGACCCACAGGGCGATTCTTCATGAAGAAGCTGCGGCTCAGACACACACCCTGGAGCTGTATGAAGAAGATATTTACTTTAATTACAAAGAACAAACATTGTTCTGATATTAATTTGAATCCAAGAATGGAAATGTATTCATCTGCAGCCCATGAGACACTCACCTTAGAAGGAACCTACAAAGAAGAGCAAACACAAAGACAAGTGTGAGTGAAACAGAATGTAAAGTAGGCAATGAATTAAGGGAAAGTTCACTTCCATCATGAAAAAAAAACCCAGTGGACGACTACCCTCAACTAACGACAATGTTTTATAAAGCATCAAAGTGGCATGAGTCATGATCTTGGGTAAATAATAATGGTTTTAAGAACCTTAGGATGGTATGGGGGGAAAATTGTTGTACCTCTGACGAAGACGTAGAATACATTAGAGAAGCCAGAGGCAAATTTATTCAATACAACATAAACCAAGGTTGTGTCTCCTTGGGCACAGTTGAGTATTAACAACCGGATTAATAACCTGTGCTCTGCTGATGTTGAAAAGAGCCTCAGACTGAAAATGTGGAGGGAAGAAATTATGGAAATAGCTGCTTTTGAAAAGATGCTGGAAAGACTGAGAAAAATTAGGAAAAAAAATGAAAAAATGAGATGGTCAAGAGACAACGCTTTAGTGGATATATGTCCAGAGGGAGCAGCCTAACTTGAAAAGAATATAATGGTTTTATACAGTAGCTATGTAAATGTTGCCATGTACTAATAACCACCATGTTATTGTAACCAAATCCACTTTTCTTGTGTCAGTGTTGTTTCGTTTTTGTCTTTTCTTTTTGCTGCTGGATATTCTTGTTAGACCACTCAATAAAACTAATAATATAAGAGCTGATGTTCAAATTATCTAATAATCAATAAGATTTGACCTTGTAGATGTGGAAAGCTATGTAGAGGAAGTGGATTTTATCCTTCTGCCTGCGGTTTTTCTGCAGCAGCTCCACCAGCACGGTGCACTGTTTGGCTTTCTCCTTCTCTCTCTTCTTCTCCTCAGAAGTCATCGCCTCATCCTCATCATCATCGACGTTACTATCCACATCATCATCGACGTTACTATCCCCAACCTCATTATCGTCATCATCATAATCGACATTACTTTCCTCATCCTCATCAACCGACTGGTCCTGCTTTGTGAGAACCAGCTGGAACTGAGGATTCTTCCAGAATGACTCTGTGGAAATAAACAAAGGAGATCATGATCACTTAAAGATATGTAACATTTGTGCATTAAAATGCCTATGAATACTACCTTTGTTGCATATTTTGTCGAGTTGTGTACTTAAGTTATACCAACAATGTTCACACACCCAATCTGTCATTCTTTTTTAGCTAAAGGTAGGTTTCGGTCAATGGCCTCAATCACTTTTGAGCAAGCGGATGTCTACCAGAAGCTGTCATAAACACACGTCAGAGAAACAGATTTTTATTCATTGTTTTTACCAATTTTATTCACAGGTCTGGATTTGTTTTGTTGAGGAGGAGATAATAGGATAATTTTACTCCCAGTAAAAACATCCTGAACAACGTCTTTTGGACTGAACAGAAATTACATACTTTACATTTAAATGATCTCCAGGTAAGGCTTGCTTGAATACAAAAATATAAAGTCATAAACATACTGTTGTAACTACGGCTTCCACCAGCAGAGCTCCCCGATACCCAGAATCCTGCATGTTCACTGATGGTCCAGGTGGACTGAGAGTCAGTCACCTCATAAGTGTCAGGATTCACACTGCAAAGCTCCACAATGTCAAACAGTTTGGAGAAGTCCTCAGCGCTGATCCTGACGGAAAGGAGGATTTACATCAGAGATCTTATTGTGTTCGATTTATCCGTCGTGTTTCATTAGCTGCCACATACCAGAACTCTCCATCTTCTTGGTTTATCAACTCGATCCTTTCCTTCTCTGCTTTGTCCACGTCCTCCCACTCTTTACCCCTGTGGTCACACACATACAAAGAGATATTAACATCTGTGGATGGTCTGAAATCGGTGAGCGAGTGGATGCTTTCTCTCACAAACATGCACAAACAGGAGGCTTCCTCACTTGTCACTCCATGGTCCACAATATTCGACAAAACCCCAGGGGTTCCTCAGTCTCAGCAACAAAACCTCCTCTGACGCTTTCGTCACCTGAAACATGAAGAGAGAATTTAACACAAGAAAAGTCAAATCTGGTTTACAAAAAGGATGGTTTTCTAAGATTGTTTTGTCTCTTTTATCTATTTTTTATTTACTTAAAGATGAGATGAGATTAGATACAATTAGATTTATTTATAAGATTAAATGTATTGACCTTGGAAACAGCGACTAGCTAAACAATCTCACTACAAAATCCAAGATTAGCTGTTCTGTATTAAATAAATAGATTTGACATGAAGTGAGATGAATAATAAATAACTTTAGATTACAGTGGTCTTTGTGTAGAAACTGATCGCTGCAGAGAACAAGAACATAAGTCAGAGACACTAAAGAAACAACACACTGATGACTATGCAAGAGTAAACAGTGATGGCAGTGCACTGCTGCACAGCCTGCAGCGTCATCTCTGTGTAATACTTGCCTTGTCGGTGTCTGTGATGGCGTAAGCATGGCCCTTTATCAGTCCGTCTCCCGTCACTTTACCAACCTCACTGGAGCTGCTGGCCTGCGGAGACAAAGAGAGAAACTCAAGTGGATCTAAAATAGCATCCACCCGTGCAGTGTGAACATTATTGAGGTGTGTATGTACCTGGATGAAGGAGCTGAGCAGGCTGCCTCGAGACAGGGAAGCTGTCAGAGACCTCCAGAGGACTCGAGGGGTACGAGAGGAGACGTGCAGAGAGCGTGCGATGCCTCCTGTGAAATCCTCCATCCCCTCGGATATGTTGCCCCCCTTCAGGCTTCCGTAGCATCCAATCAACCTACATATGAGAGGTGAGAAAGTTATCTCCAGGTGGTATTTGTGGTCAAATCACTGTAAGGACACACACACACACACACACACACACACACAGTAAAAGAGTGGGTGATCTCAGACATCACAACCCAGAAACATATGCTGGTAGTGGCAACTGACTTGGCATAGGCCTTCTCCACCAGGGCGCTCCAGTACTCGTTGCGGGTGTGAGAGTAGCTGAAGAGCAGACGGCCTTCGCGTACTGGCAGCCTGTCATCCACAACCACCTCCACCCACTCACCATACTGCCAGAACTGCACAGGCACACAGGAAGAGAAGGAAGGGATGTAATGAATCAGGAGGGAAGTTTATGTATCAATGATGGAAAAATCCAAAGAGGCAAATCCTTTAACCAGCAACAGCTGTTTTTTTTAGCCACCTGGGGGCAGCAGAAACAAACTGTAAACAGTGAAGTTGATATATAATATTCACAATCATATGAAGTCGTGTTTCTGCCTTCCTGACGAGTATAAGTCCAATATTCACTCTCAATGTTTTTTGCTCCACTGTATGTTCTAGTTGCTAGTTGTTGTCTATCTGCTGTTTGCTGCTGAGCATGTAGTGTACGGTGGCTATTTAGAGCTTTTATGCTGAAATAAACTGAATACGACGCTATGAGAGCGAACCAAGACAGTAAAGTCATAACCTTGAATGGCAGTTGGATTCGCGGGCTCACAAAATCACAAGATTGTGCGAGAATCCATCCATTAATCCAGGCTATAAACATATATGTGTAAAGTACGAAAGCACTGGCAGCTACGGGGGTGGGAGCAGATTTATGCGTAGATTAATGATGGGAATTATGGCTGCTTTTAGTGGGCCAGATCATTTGGCTCAGCAATAAGAGCTGGTTCTTCATTTACTACTTCTGGCTTTAACTGTTGTTGAGAACAATAAATAATAAATAAACACACTGTTCTCTCGTCTGAATAAATCTATTAAAGCGCTTCTGAAGGCAGTTACTGGTCATGACTAAGGGCGTGTACTGTACTGCTGTGTGTACACAACAGCGGCCAGAAGCAGGCCTGCACTGGCCTTTCATACCTACAGCTGTGCGTGTGGGTGTGTGCGTGTCCCAGGGGTATTCACTACCTGCATGTCTGGACTGCTCTCCCATAACCCTAACAGTGCAAAATTAGTTTCCAGTCCTTCCTTCCTGCTTGTTAAGTCATGTCACATTCCCCCTAACAGTCTCTAAAGGTCCAAAGCTCCAGAGACAAATAACGACCGCAAAAGTGATCTATATCTAACTAGTGTGTTTGCTTGACAAGATTTAAGTGTCTTTTACGAAGATATTGATAACGATCTGTGCATGTCAAAGCCAGTAAATAATGAACTCCCTAGATTGGAATCACCACTTCTAATGAGGCGATAAAGATTAGGTTTTATGGGTTGTCTCCTCTTATTTGTGAGACCACCGTGCACTGATGACTCCAGGATGAGTTGATACCTGTTTGATCCATTAATTAAATTCCAGAGCGACAGCTATAAAGAAATAGGCATCCCTCTGAAAATAGGCAAAGTCTAAAAGAATAAAGCCAGATCAGATAAAGTTATACTATTACATGAAATTACATAAGATGAGCCAGTAAATCAAATGTAATCTTTCATGCTTTTACTGTCCTCTGATCTAAGATATAGTATTTAACAAACACAACACAAACTGTGTGTCATATTTGGCCTGTGATCAACAATAACTGATCCTCACGGTAGTTCAGGAAAACATTGAACGAACACTGTTGGATGCCCAGTAACGTTCTAGTTCTCCTCCTCTATCTTTGAATATGGAACATGTAACTTTAATATCAGCTAAATAATTAAATAAAACAAGACTAGGACCCACTTCAAGAGTAACTAATACATTGCCTCTAGTGATGTCACTATCAGTCGTGACTGAAGACTTGAGTACAGGTAAGTTGAAGTTGGGAAGTTAGGGATGCACTGATACCAGTGTTGGGTATCGGGTCCGATACTGAGCTCATGTACTCTGATACCACCTCATGGCAGCGAGATGTTACGTAACAGGTAGGAAGAGGAGAAGTAATGTCAGCAGTTTGGAGATATTTTAAACAACAGCATTAGCAACATTTCGTCATTATTAGAACTGTAATGGTATTAATAAGAACTTGTATCGGTCAGTATCAGCAAGTACCCAAATGTAAATACTTGTTTTTGGTCTGAACAAAGTGGTTTCTGTGCATCCCTAGTACTTGATAATGTATTTTTGTAGTGCATATTCTCAGACAAACTTACATATTACCACAAAATCAATTGCCACAGTGGAACCCTTTGGGGAGTTTTTGGGGACCAGTGTTTCCTTCTGCATAGAATGAGGCTCTTTCTGTGTTAGCATTTAGATTTATATGAATTTTGGATGGAAAAGTATTGATAATTTGATACCACATGTTTAAAACAATTCAATACTAATGTTTAATACTATAAAAAAAACAGACAAACAGTTAGATTTTGCCTGCACAGATGAAACAATGGGGTAGAAAATGAACTGGTTCTCAAATTTTAAACTTAAACATTATTACAAACGTGTTTGTAAGTTACTTTTTCTATACCGTCACAGCTTATTTTAAGTATTTGCTTTTGTAAAGAATATCAGGTGACATGTCCAGGCAGAGATGGGGCTTGTGGTTTGGTATATAAGGAAGACTGTCTTTGTGAGTGTCACTGTTTTGTTGGTCAGCAGCAAACAAGGTGTTGGTCTCAGCTGGCTTGATTGGGGTCTAATTAGCAACTTTTTCTCATTAGCAAAAAAGGTTCAGGGAGTGAGAGGCTTTCTGTTGTGCATGCAATCTAACTACACTTACCCTGAAATAGAAGATCCCTGCATAAGGTTTGGACAGGGTTTGGTCGGGTGGCACCACCTTCACGAAGAGCGTGGGGTGCACGGTCAGACAGGAGAGCGCCGCCAGCAGCCAACAGTTACCTGATACACAAAAGAAACACATGAAACTAATAAAATAGATTAGTTTTAGTTTAGTTTAAGTGATAGTTATAGTTTTTTATTATAGTATGGGGGTAATTGTCAGGGGCAACATTTAAGAAGTTCAGAATAGATATTACAATACAAACACACTGACTCATAATCATTAGAGATCCCTGTCTCAATAAACACCAACGCCTCCTCACGCTTGTTGTGTTGATTGACTAAAGACTAAAACTAAAGACCTTTCATCTATTTTTTTTATTTTTATTTCAGTTCACTAAAATGTTTTTGTTTTCATTTTAGTTTTAGTTAACAATAATAAAATGGTTTTGGAATGAATGATTCATTGTTATATATCAGATTACTTAAGGGCCCAGAGGGCACTGGGCTCCTGTTAAGCGTGATTCATGTTTTCGTTAATGCTTTTCAAGCAGGTTAAGCTCTGTCATACACACACACACACACACACACACACACACAAACAGAGAGAGAGAGACACGTAATGAGTCAAATTCCTCTCCAACAGCAAACATCTGTTTCATGTTGTTTCTCTGGAGATGTCAAAGTAACTGTTTGTTATCTGCGTAAATCATGGAAAACCCATCCTGGGATACAATTTAACTGACAACATAAAACTCGGGTATGGACAAAGAAGGGCAGAGAAGTTTGTATTGATCTGTGCTATTGACACATCTGTATCCAGAAATCCCAGAGAGGGAAGGAGTTGCTGTTGTGCAAAAAAAAACAATCTTCTAGTTCAGCACAAAATAAGAAACAGATTGAACACAGATTTTTTTGTAGGATCTGCAGGCTGTTAAAGACGGGGCTATGGTGGGGTATGGACCCCCTGCGGTTTGAGGTTTGGGGAACATGGAGTGTCAGTCCTCTTTCCCCCTCGCTGTGTGTTTGAAGTTGGGTCCCCGGGGCTCTGTGGTGCAGACATTGAGTTCTGAAGTCACAGCATTTTACTGTCATCAGAAAAATAGGAACAAACTACGTAAAGGAGTGTTTCAGATTTTGGTTTTGTGGATGTTGTGCAACTCAGCATGACATCTTCCAGTTTAAACCTTCGTTCCTCGGGGAGGCTAGATGAGCCGTGGGCAGGAGAAGCAGATTTTTAATGTGCGTGGAAGCTAAAGTTTTTCCTGATTTACTCACCCAGTTGGCCCTGGCAGATGTCAGTGGTCCCAGTCGTGCCCTCCACAAACACAGCGTTCTTACTGATCTCCTGCAGAGCAACAGGAGGACAATGTGGGCACAAGATGATGTAACACTGTAAATGGTTTTTCATGACCGAGTGTGGGGTGTCAACATCTGGACTATATGAGATAAGAGAGGATGAAAAAAGTTTTTGAATAAATTGTTTAAATCCTTTTTTAAGCAACCAAAGCCAAAATATCACTGGTTCCAGCTACTCATGTGTGAATAATTGCTGGTTTTCTTTATCATCTGTAATTTTAAACTTAATATATTTGGTTTGGGACCGTCAGTCAGACATTTGAAGACATTTGAAGACGTGATGAACTCTGATGGGCACATGTTTCTATTTTTTATTGACAAGCAGATAAATCAATAATAATCTAATTATTAGTTGCAGCCCTACATGTTCCATACTTAGCATGACAATTCATGGTACCCCCTATGTATACTCCACACTTTTCTTTCTGTAGTTTACACACACTACATTTAATTTCTGATGTACCGACTTACTCTCAATAATCTACCTCTTAGGAGATTACTTTATCTTTTCAGTATATTTGTGTTATTTTATCAGTTACTTTCTTCCTCTCTTGAGGAAGCTGCTGCAGCTTATAAGCTCCTCAGATCTAAGCCACACCTGGTTGAACAACTATCAGCTAAACATCCGTCTACAGCTGCTGATAGAGCTCCTGTGAAGAAGCAATGCTAAGAAATATACTGAGAAATACATTTCACATTAGGCTACTTGCTTGGGCATGTATGAAAAAATGTACAAGTGGCTAATAACAACAATAACATGTAGACAACTTTCATTTATATCAAACTTTGTGCGCCCAAAATAAAATGTTGGTATTGCTGCAGAATATGTTCCAGATGTTGATTTCTCATTGCCAAATATGTTTGTAAGTGAGGACACAAACCACTAATAACAATAACGCCCAGCCACATCTGGATAACAACTGGCACTTAACACACAACGGGACTGGTCTACCTTGGGTCGCTGCCACTTGATCGCCTTTTTTGGGTCCGGATCATCCGGAAAACCGATGGACTTCTGCTCTGCTGGAAAGGCTAAATCAGCAAACAGCTTCCCGGACTTCAGACACTCTTCCAGGAGAGTTTTGAAGTCCTGATCTTTAAACTTAATCGGGTTCTCGATGGAGCCCAGGGGGGCCTTCTTGTCAGTCGCCATGCTGCTGTCAGTGAATGTAAAACTTTTCTTTCGCAATGGAAAATGTGTGAGCAGCCCGTGCTTAAATACAGATAAAGGCGCACACCCACCACCACCTCCGCCAGTGAGGGCCACTTGGAGCGCCTCCCAGCACGGAAAGGTATGCAGAGCGCCGGAGGCCGCGGAGAGCTGGAGCCGGAGTAATGACACGGTGCCAACAGCCTCTTTGAGCTACCTAATTGTCCATCATCACCATCGGAGCGGGCAGATAGAGGCAACAAGCTTCTGTCAGTGATATCCTTTAAGTCCCTTCTTCATCCTCGCAGAGCCTGTCCTGGTTTTACTTGAACTTGTTTTATCTGGTTGAACTTTTATTTGTGTTTTATTTTTTTGTAAAGCAGTTTATAACTAAATGTAAATGCGCTATAAATAAAGATTATTATTATATTGCTATTATTGTAATAACATAATTTACGAATAACTGGACAGCTGTGCAGGAACTGGCCCCCACCATTACAAGTAGCCTCCAAAAAACTCCCCAAAATGTTTTAATTTGTACTTTTCGGTCTTTATTTATTCAGCCTGTTGGAGGAAACTTCCTAGAAAACTACCAGGGAATGAGAGACGCATAAAAAAGGCGTGACCGTTTCATTACCGGACGTCTTAATTAACCAAATACCCAGAAAAGGAAACCTGTTTTTACATGCAGGACATGAAATGTGTCCATGTTGGGTTATGTGATGTGTGTCCGAGTTTGAGAAGAGAAACAGAAATTCACACACTGTAACAGTTTAATTGTCTTATAAGGAAAACTCACAGATCAATTAATCGAGCATATTTACAGACATATTGATCTGATACGGTTCTGTTTGGAAGGCTGATTATAGAGTGGAGAGACAGTTCTCTCAAACTACCGCTAGGTGTCCGTGTACTCCACATAAAGGCACCAGACCACAAATCACCACAGCGTCTCTCTGTGTGTGTGTGTGTATTTCGGGGGTTTACTGTAAATTGTGGCCATGATGATGATGATAAATAAGGCGATGAAGAGAAAGACGTCTGCTGGGTGAACTCCAGGTCTGTTCAACTGACAGTAAAGAAAATCACATTGTAAAATCCCCTCACGAGATGTAGACGCAAGCACACAACAACAGAAAATGACTTTTATTCTGAAGTAATTTAGTCAAAATCACCAGTCTGGGAGGTTTCTGTCACACTATATTACAATTTTGAGTATTTGAGGAAGCCTAAAGAGCTTTTTTCTCCACAACAGACACAAACTTGAAATTGTTTGTGCTTATAGCAAATATAAAATGATAAATCTGTCCAACTCTTACATTTTCAGTTTTGATTTACTCAGTAAAACACTCCTCTGTGGTTGAGAGAAAAGAGGAGCTAATAAAAATGTAGATATGTACGTCCACAGTATTGGTTTCAGTTATTGAACATATGTTCTTGTTCAATATTCTCCTAAAAAAGATGCTGCTAAACATCATTCAAACACAAGGCAGTTCCTACAGACTAAAGACAGTGATCTTTTTGTCTGAGCTCTCTAATAACATAAAACATGTGATTTAAATTGGCAGTATTAATAGTACTGCAATGAACATTTCTACATATTGAAAAGCCTGATAACCAGTGTCCTAATAAATAAAGAGAATATCAGTAAGTTTGTTTGTTTATTTGTGTTTTGGAAGAACCTCTGACCTTGACTTTGTCTACTGTATGTGATGGGGAACAGATTATAAAATCATGACAGCATGCTAAACACAAATTGAGGAAGAGTGCCTGGGATGACATTGCACAGCAGAAATGTGACGCTGATATTGGCACTGATTCTGCTTTATAGTGTCCAAAGATTCAGTTCTCTTTCACTTTGTCTACAGCCTGAATGTTGTGGTTAACAGTCAACTGATTTTGGTACCGTTTGATAAAGGAAGTTAGTTAGTTAATTAAAGTATTATTAATGTTATTAAATAATTTACAAATGCTTTATAGATCAGTCAAACTTTTGGTCTCCTCCAGTGGGACGTTTGTTCTTTTTAGGTTTGATGTAGTCATAACAACTTATTAACATATATAACTGCAGAGTTGATGTCTGTTAGAAAGTGATACAAACTTTTACAATCTGGCAACCCAAAGTTGTTTTAATTAAGGGCTTATATCTAAATTAAGAAAACACAAGTTGATTGATTGACATTATTAAAGCCATTAGGCACAATTTATAAACATTTGATTATATATTCTGATTTTTAATACCTTCCATCACTTAAATAAGTATGTTCAGTAAAAAATAAAGAAAGCAAGAGTTTCTTATAAAACAAGCCAAAAATATATTACCAATGTAGAAACATTATTTCCAAACACGAACAATCTTTCTTGTGTAGTTTTCCTCTTTATGTCTTCCTTACACTTTTACAATTAATCCTAAAATAAAATGATCTCACATCATTTACATATTGTTTTCAGGATATTGATTGTCCGTGCTTCAATTTAAGACTACATGTGTTAAGGCGGATGTCCTTTGCACAATACCGGTGTAATAAATTATTCACAAGGACTTGTTGTTTTGCTGTGATACCTATATTTACCAAACGAGGTGCTCTGGCCTCCTCCTGTATAGACCACTTGTGAACTTTGGTCTGGACTCTATAATAATCTGAAGTGGACATCCAATTACCGTCCTCCCCTTCCTCCCCTTCCTCCCCTCCTCTCTCTGCCCTCTTGTGTCGTGTCATTCATTAAATTTAGGTGGATATCCATCTCCAGTAAACTGTTGTCCTGTGGCGCTCACTTCAGGCATCTCAAGGCCTCTCCAGGCATCTCAAGGCGTCTCCAGCCGTCCCTCCATCACACGCCTGATTACACTGAAAACGTGAGAGTGACCAGGACTAAACAAACAAGAAGAATAGCGACACAGATCCGCCTAATGGTCACCATTTAACTCCATTCATAGGCTCTCCATTATGTCCGTATGGTCTTTGAGGACGGGATTATAGGAAGCCCCAGTGACAAAGGTCAGAGGGCCGAGCAGACACTCCCACACCTCCATGACCTGCTCTGATCCCACGACCCCGGCACCAGCAGCCCCTGGGCCCCTCTCACTCTCCCCGCTGGTTAACCGGCTTTGTCCCGGCCTGTTTTCTGCTGCATCACTCACACACACATCACACCAGACAGAGCAGGTCAGGAGATAGAGAGGGGGAACTTAATTATCACTCAGTAGGAGACGTTACTGCAATATACCTATAGGCCTGTATATAACACATAAATATTGTTCTGTATTTTATATCGGTTGGTTTGTTTTTATTGTGAAGCACTATGAAAAACTCATCATATACTGATTCTAACTACATTTTTTTTAACTCCAATATTATCATACCTCACTACTGAGAACATGGTATTTCTTCCTCATTTCATAAATCATCTATTAGGATGGAAAATACATTTATTTAAGTACTGTTGAGGTACTTTACTTGAGAATTTGGGTACGTTATATAAATATTATGCTGCATTCATTTGACAGCAGTTATTATGCAGATGAAGATCTTTCACATAACACTTATGATTGTTGTTATAGGCTAAACAACCCAACAGTATTTAAAGTAGAATCAGCTCCTCCTAAACCAAATACTGCTTGTGCAATCTGCTACATGTAAATGAGACAGTGAAAATATATCACAGTATATAAATCATCTCATTTAGCTGATGATAGTTCTCTACTTCTGCTTCAGTAAGATTTTAAATGAGGATCTTTACTGTAACAGAGTCTTTTTAGACATGTTATTTTGTCAGTTTTGATGTGATATTTGTAATTGATCTAAATTTTTTGCTGTTAGTGAGTAACATCCACTCAGCTGTTGTTGTGTTTATGTTTCTATAGGTGGAAATAATAATATCTGTCTAATATGAAGTTTATGTGTGTGTGTGTAGCTCACAGTGGACTTTATAGAGAACAAGCATCTCAACATCTAAGTTAGGATACTGATAATACTGATACTGAAACGTATCATGCAAGAAAATGAAAAGGAAACTAGACACAGTATGTGAAACATAAAGCGTTGTATGGGCGGGGGGGTGACAGTGGACATGTGGAGAGTCTGGTCGAGGTGGTTAGAAGCTGCAGTTCACCTGCCCTCAGGCCTGCAGGGAACAAACACATGAAAGCATTTTCACCTGTCAAAGGACTGAACTCTACCTCCTAACCTTACTATGCATGCTATCCAGGCAGAACCTCTGACCCCAGCACTGTGTGTGTGTGTGTGTGTGTGTGTGTGTACGGAGGGAGTGGGCAAAGAGTTGTGTATTGTCAAATCCAGTTTTTCCGGCAGTTAGGGACAGACTGACCTGAATATGTGTTTGTGAGTGCATGTGTGTGTAATTACGTGAGCAACTGAATAACTGTGTGTGTGTGTGTGTGTGTGTGTGTGTGTGTGTGTGTGTCAGGTTCACAAGGAGGGTCACCAGGTGCAGCAAGAACAGTAATATATGTGTGATGTGTGTGTGTGTTTATGAAAAACAGGGTCAGAGATGTTTGAGGAACAGTTTGTCAGAGTGTTTGAGTGGGCAGATGTTTGATTATATTATCTCTTCCATCTTCTTTAGGTTGTCGTTTGGTAGGAGCTCTATACATGAACAGTATAGTGTAGGCGTACAGACACATCTGCCAGTAAACAGGATATGATGTAAAAATCACCTTTTGCTAATATTCAGTCAAAAAACCATTTGAGAAGCCCAGTTCAGACACCAAAACAAAGAGGCTGTAAGTGCACAGGCAGATACTTTTGACCAAGTACACCAGTATTGATAATGTGTACACACTTTAGGTACCACTACTGGTGTTTGCATGCAATATTTAATCTAAACGAGATTGCACAAATCTTGCAATTTTATCCAATCACTGCAACTTTTCCACAAATTTGACTGATCAATCATAGCAGCTCCTTTGGCAAAACATTGAGCCATACGTCACCGAACTACTAGCAGTCTTATTCTCACTGGAACAAGTTGCCTTTGATTTTTATACAAAAAGGTGAGGTGAGGGTTTAACCAGTGCTACATCATATTGTATGTGATTTCATGTTTCAACATTCATTTTCATGATTCAACTTAAATGTGTCTGATTTTGAGAGCATGAGTATGGATTTACACTGTTTAACATACATTTTTGGGCCAATGCTGTAGTCCCCCATGCAAAATGTTGAGCCATACATCACAAAATAACTAAGACTACACTAGAATAAGTTGCTTTTGCTTATCAATGAATTGTAACTATTTGTGCACTTTCTCCCACAATTTCATTGCAAAAAAAATGCCTGAAAACGTCACAATATTTCAGACATTTTAGGCCACAACAATCCCCAAAAAAGCCTGAGAAATCCTGGGGGGACAGCAGAGACAGTAGAGGCATTGGTTTAGAAAAGGTTGGATTCACTCAACTATGAGATAAGTTATATCAGATAACAGCAATGCTGATACTATGTTGGCATATTTCCTACCTACAACATTTGTCATTAATAAAGCTGAAAATATGAATTCAAAAGAGACTAAACTACTTTATTTCTGTACATAAAGTCTTTGCTGATTTCAGACACGTTCACAGAGGTAGTTTACATGTAATGTGCACACAGGTTTGGGCAGTAACATGTTAAAAGTCTTAGTTACCAAGGTTACATTGTTCTGTTGTCTTATAGAAAACATGTCATCTTTTCTCTCATATCAAAATTAAGGAAAAGTAACATTACTTTAATATTGTGATACTTGGATTAGGTTACAGACAAAATTTTTTAACAAGTTATTGTATTTTTAAAATAACCCTCCCACCCTGTGTGTATGTAAAGAAGAGTTGTATTGTGCGTGTGTGTGTGTGTTTTTGTCTGTTGTCTACCTGCATCACGCCGGCTCTGCAATCTGTGAGAAAACAACTTCAGCTGATCACCGGGAATGAAAATGAGACCGTGGCCTTATTTTGGTTAGTTTTGAAATGTATTTTCACCATCATTATCTGGCAACAATTTCTGCCTGTTTGATGTAACAGTCCGTCTCACGCTGTGAAAAAAGAGAAATCAGTGAACTTCCTCCCTTTTGTTTTTTAAATTAACCCATCTCCAGTCTCAACAGTACTTCCTCGTACTCAAACTGAACTGGCACTACTCCCACCGAGCTCGTCCTCAGTGATCAGTGACATTATATAACCCCTTATAAGAATGAACCCTCCTTGTCTTTCCATCCTCTCATTATCTGAAGGTGTTGAATGGCAAAAAGAGAGGCACTGGATTGACGGATGGCTGCCTGGGATGGTGTCCCCTCTCACCCAGTCCTCTCACACTCTCACTGTTAGAGGTTAGGAGGGTGGGAGGAGGAGGAGGAAGAGGAGGGTGAGGGAGGAGAGGTGAAGCGGGTGTAATTCCAGGGTTCAGGTTTCACTCTGTGGTCATTGCGGGAGGAGGGACGGGCGAGAGAAGGTGGGGATTGTGGGAACTGTGCAAGGATAAAGAGCAGAGAGGGAGTCCTGTGGTTTGTCTGATCACTCCCGAATGCATCTTTCGCTTTCTTGTTATCCCCGTCTCAGTCTGATGATTTAATCCTCAGCCTCTGCCTCCTCCTCCTCCTTGTCTTCAACTATTATGGGGAGGAAGAGGACAACAGGACAGGGACTGCAGAGATGATTGGAGGCTTCACACGGCACACCATGAGAAATGTAATTAAAAACTCCCAGTTAATTGGCTTTTTCCATGATAAAGCACAATCTTCTCATACATAAGTGAGAGCCTCTCATGGCCACAGGCCTGCCCTATAGAGAAGCAAACACAGAGCTCATACATTCCCTTTGTTGTGGGCATTTTCAGAGATAATCATCTTAAGTTTAATGTGAATTTCTGATTATGCCACCGCTGCCAGAAAACTGCACTATGTCTATAAAGACTATAAAGAGGTCGAGCTGTCGGCATTTCATTGTTAGCTTTGAAAATGATGCAGGTGAATGCTCGTTTTATGTGCCATGGAGCATGGACCATGGAGGTTGTGTCTGGAGTGGTTCTCCTCCTGATGGGAGTTTTCCAGTTGTTGGAGTCACACAAGGTTCTGTCCTGGGTCCCATACTGTTTTCCTTGTATATGTTTCCCCTTGGACAGATAATAAGTGCATTTAAATACATGATATTCAGTTGTCCACCACACATAAATGAGATGGTGCCTAATTTAAAAGTCTATTAAAGTCTTCTACAGCACAGACAATCTCACTGCTTCCCCCGATCTCATTCTGGAGGTCCACAAATCCAAAACAGAGCTTGTTAAAAATGCCTTTATTCATTCATTCATTCATTATACAGATTATAAAGTTTTAATTGAGTCCACCACGGACTGTACCTATAACTAGAATTAGGTCTGTGTGAAATGTAAATTTCGAAGGTTAACTCGGCCTTCATCCCACATTGTTGTGTTAAATGTATCTGTTGTTAATCTGATGCCCTTGTTTTCACTGTTCCATCTTTTGTTTACAGGTTTGTAAGTAATGATTGTCTTATTTTTTGCTTGTATTGTCTGTATAAAAAGAGCACCTGTGCAAAATATAGTAAACTGCTCTTGTTAAAGGAATGAATGAATGAAAACACAATAGGCAATTCATAATATTTCTTTGTCAGTAAGTTGATAATGATGATAATGATATTTGTTGTATAATATTGTTGCTAGCTGTAGCTACCATTGAGGACACTGAGTTAATCACCTCTGTCACTTAGGGGTTTTAGTAACCCGGAGGGAGTTTACATTTTTTTGTATTTAATAATTTCAGATTCAGTATTTCAGAGTTTTGTTCTGCAATTTCCCAGCTTGGCTGCAATTTCCCAGCTTGGGATCAATAAAGTATATCTATCTATATATCTGTCTTAAAGTGTGGAGACGACCGTGAACATCGTCTTGGTCTTTATGTATAGATGCCAGAATTCAAATGAATCAGTATTTCTAACATCTTGGCTATGGCCTCGAGGATATGGACAAACAGATTGCTGCATTCAGTGTTCTTTCTTTTTGTTCACAAACAGCCCAATAAGTTCAGAAAACAGAATCATTTAACAGTAATGAAGCCCTTTAGATGCTGGAAGCACAACATTTAAACTGTGTCACAATGGTACAACTACCAAAATCCCAGATGCTTTTCCTTACATCAATACATTGTCCTATTATAAAGAGTGTTTAGAAAAAGTGTGTGTAGCATATTAAAATCCTGTGTGTGTGTGTCTGTCCTGCAGCGACCTCTCCCAACTTCCAGACCAACAAAAGCTTCTCTGTGGAGCTGAGACACAACTATTAGATCTCAAAGTCCACATAACTTCCGCCCAGGGGCAGTCACTGGTCAAAAAACACACTCATAGCCTCACTCTCCTATTGGCAGACGCTATAAACTCTTCATGTTGTGATTGGCTGGTTTCGGTGCTGACATTGGCCTGTGCAGGGTTTGACAGCAGCTCAGAGAGGTGTGGACTGCAGGAAGACAAAGGGCACTTGGGGACGTGGAAAAGATATCCACTTGCTGTAGGGGCTACTGTGCTGTGTTCTGTAGTGTATCACCTTACCTTACATAATTGGGTCCATATGAGCACCAAATGGCGCTCGCTGTGGCGCCCAACAGAAAGGGAGGGCAGAGTTTACCGGAGGGAGAGATGGAGGATGTTACTTGTCACCTGTACTGTCCTCCCTCCTTGTTTTTTTTTTTCTGTCTCTGTGGAGAGAAACGGACAAACTGACTCATCTGGATCCGAGGGGCTTCTGTCTTCACTTCCTCCTTATTCTCTATAACACAATGGTAATTGGTAGGAGTGGGCGTGTGTGCATCTGGTGCAATAACCCCCCCCCACACACACCATCAAACCCCACTCCTCCTCTTCATCTACCCAGCCCCCACCCTGTTGAAAGCTCATTAAAAGACCTGCTGTTAATGAGCTAGAGGGATCATAGAACATCATTTTCATTGGGGGTGGGGTTAAGGCCAGAGATGCTGGTGCAGAGGTTTTTATGCCCTTAAAATGGAGTCAGCAATTATCCCAACCCCTTGACACTCCCCACCCACCCCACTCTGCCTCCTAACATGCCCACAAACAATAACCAAACTGCCCCCCCACCCCCTCCCCTCCTTAATTTTGTATCCTGAGAAACCCTTGTCGCCCGTGTCCCATCATAGCTCGCTGCACTCATCCCACAAACTGCAGGATGACTGACACCAGCTCAAATATATCTACATACACACATAAAAGTACACACACTTACATACACACCATACTGGAATTACATTACACTGTTTCTAGACAAAGCCAGAAACATCACAAGGATGTAAACAAGGAGTGAGGGTCCCTAATCCAAACACTCACATTAAAAATTAATAACTCAGCGCTGACTGTGGTCCTCAGAGAAACGACCCACACTGGCTAAGATAACATCCTGGTGAGAAAAGATACTTAAAAATAGTTTCAAAAGCTTTGTTGTGGGTACCAGAATAAGAACAAAAAAAGATAAAACATGCATGCAAAAGCAACCACAAGTATGAAAAGACACGGGTGGGTGAGGGGAAAAAAACACTCCACAATACAAAATGTTTCACCTCAATTCTTTATTGAGGCTCCTCAATTACAAAATGGTGTCGAGTTTACAAAGACAGCAGATCGGTATAGCTTCACAATAGCCAGTGTTCAGCGTAAAGGAGACGATGCTAGGAAAAGTGGAGGCAGTTAATATTAATAATAATAACAATAATAAGTAGAGCAACAGCAAGAATGTCAATCTATGTACAAAATATTATCCCTGAACAGTTACACTGCACTCATTCATGATCATTTATTACACAACACACATTTCTTTTCCCTGACATGAATGCAAGTAGAAGTCAGATATGGTAACACAGTAGTCACGACAGAGATGGCAGCACTCTACTTGACAACTTTGTCCTGTTATATTTCTTAAATGAACAGATTTTCTCATGCTCGAGTTGTGTTTCTGAACTTAAATCCTCATTGTTGACACATGACGACCCTTCAGAAGCACGACACGGCAATTATGACCAGCTGAGTCATGCTGTGGACACAAGATCACAGGACAGAGGTCAAGTAGAAGCGTCACCTGAGGATGTTTTTACCAATATATTTACAGACAAAAACATTCACACACACTCATCCAAGTGCTTGCTCCCCACAAAACTCCACCAATCAACTAGCTACTCCTGCACCCTCTCAACCTCGTAGTTCAGCAGTGGAACAGACTTTTTTACAACCACCAACATGCAGCATTCATAAATTAGGAATAATTCAAACACAAGCAACAAAGTAAAAAAAAACAAAAAAAAAACAGTTTCAGATGGCTGGAGAACATGCACAAGCTTTAAGCAGTCCGGCACTTTACAAATGTAAACAGTGAAAGAGAGAATTTACCATCACAATAAGTACAAATAGAGAAAAATAATACACACCCGTTTCACATGTAGGTAAAATTGCATTTTTTTTATGCATAGAAACTAATCATGAAAAAAAAAAAACATCAGTAGAAGAAACTTTAAAGTCTCCTTATTCACATTTATAAAATTAGAACAACAAAAAAAAAAAACATCCATACATATGGTCACAAAGTCAAGAGCACAACCTTGCCAGGCCCTGTGAGTCCTGTAAACATTATGTTAAGTGACAACTGTTGTGACAACCAAGCGCCTTTAAAAAGAGGAGTCTGAGAAACTGCAGGCAGACCAGTGTTTGGATTTATTTCACCCCTGTGTCTGTTCAAACATCTTTAGTCTTTAAAAGGTCTTCTCAAAACCAGCAACAGCTAAGTAGCACAATATGACCTCTCTCCATCTGCTGATGCTGAAAATATATTAACATCATTCTATTGCTATACTTTAAAAAAAAAAAAAAAAAATCAATATAATCCCTTCTCTATATTATCTGACAGTTAATATCTGTCTCTACCGGTCCAGTGGGTCACCAGAGAGATAAATCACTCGTCTTTTGCATCCTGCACTGCAACATGGTGAACAGTTTCCTGTGTCGGTGTGGACTGTGGCGGGTTCACTTCCTGTTCAAGAGCTCTGGTAATCTCCCTGTTGAATGTCATGGCCTTGTTTTTGCTCTGTGGTCTAAAGAACTGTAGGCACTTAGTTTCAACCAGCAGCTTTGCATACAATCATGAACAACGTGGCTGATGGCTGCTGGGTGCCTTCGTGCTGGCAGAGAGGATGAGGACTGCCTGCTGATTTCTAGAGTCTTCTTTAAACTAGATTCCAGTTTTTACTTGACTGTCAGTTCAATGATGGGTTTCTTTTAATTTGAATGAGGGGGTTAAATCCTATACAGTGCTATTTTAATGTCAATTAGTGAATGAGAACAGCTCTCATGGCGCAGAAGTCAAAGCTAAGCTCACTTCTGCGTTGCTCTCAGGTGGGCGATCACCCACTATGGCTGGACTCCGGATGTTCTCCACATACTCCACTTGGCTTTGCCCCTCCTCCACCTCCATGCTTTTCACCACATCGCTCTGAATTCTGCTCTCCATTTCTATCTGATCCAAACTGGCTTCGTCCTCCTCCATTTTCACCACCACTGCTTCTTCTTCAGCTTTTATAGCAGCCAAAGTGTCTGCAGCGCTGGCCTGTGCGTAGGCTCCTACGCTGGCGTGGCTCAGGCCGTGAACTTTCTTTAGGTGTTTCTCCAGAGTGGCGTAGACGGTGAAGGGCACCGCGCACAGCTGGCACAGAAAGGAAGCCTTTGCTCCCTGGGCACCGTGGGTCTTCATGTGACGTGTTAACTTTGAACTCTGAGCGCAGGCATAGTTGCAGAGGCCACAACGGTAGGGTCGTTCACCTGTGTGGCTGCGGCGGTGCACAGTCAGGTTGCTGCTGTTTCTGAACTGTTTACCACAGAACTCACAGGCTTCGTCTTTCTTCTTCTTGCCAGCTGAACCAGTTGTAGTACTGCTGTTGTTGCTTCCTCCGCTGCTGACACCTCCTCCTACACCCCTCCGCTCGTTCTCTCTCTGCCACTCCTGCACAACCTCGCTGACTTTGGCCGAGCTCCACTCTTTCTCACTCTCTATGATCTCCCCTCTTTCATTCTCCCACTCTCCGACGCCTCGCACTCTGTCCCCCAGCTCTGGCCGTTTGGGCGTGCAGTTGCCACTGGCGATGCCGCTTTCACCGCTGCCCCCTGTCTCACCACTCTCCAGTGAGCCTTCAGAGGGGCTGGCGCAGGGTGAGGTGTGCTGAGGCTCCCCCTGCCCCTCCACCTCCTCCTCCCCTCCTTCTCCTCCCTCCCTCTGGCGTTGGTACAGCCTCAGCAGCTCCCTGTCTGACTGTCTAACCTGCGAGGTCAGCAGCATCAGGCCCATGGGGTGTTTGGGCAGGGTTAGGTCTAGCTCGGAGGGGCCCTGGGCTCTCACATCTGCACCCACCGTTCCCTTTCCCATTATTCCAGCTGACTGCATTTGAAACCTCCCTCTCATCCCCTGCCTCCCCACATCCTCCTCCATCACGACCATCTCCACCGACTCATATCCACTTCCTCCACCTCCAGCCACTCTGTGATGGCTCCTTATGTGACGGGCCAGCTGGCCGCTCTGGGCGAAGGCCAGCCCACACACTCCACAGTGATAGGGCCTCTCGCAGGCGTGAGTCCGGCGGTGGGCGGACAGGGCACGCAGGGACTGGAAGCTCTGGTCACACGGCTCGCAGTGGAAGTCAGTCTGGAGGGCGCTTGTCTGAGGAAAGGGAGAAGCTGCCGGTGGAGAAGAGGATGGAGACAGCACCAGGCCTCCAGGTGAGCTGCCGGTGGCACCGTTATTCCCCTCGGCGAGCTCCCTGAGCCGCACTGAGAAGTTCAGAGCCTGCAGGTTACTGGAAGAAGAGGTGGTGTGTGTCTGACGGGAGCGAGTGGGGCGCAGGGCGGAGGGCTGAAAGGCAGAGGCGAGAGCTTGGCTCAGGTGGCGAGGGTCCAGAGTGGCTGCAGCAGGCTTGTGCTCTTTAAGTCCTCCTCTTCCTCCTTCTCCTCCTCCCCTAATGTCATCCTCCTCGTCCTCTTGATAGATGCTGAAGGAGTGTGTGTGCTGAGCATGCTGCAAGAGCGCCCATGCAGATGGAAACACGCCTTCACACTGCTGGCAGGTGAAATAGGAGGGCTCCTCAGGTGCTGGAAAACAAAGACGGACAAAACTGAGTTACCAAGTAAAGATAACAGAGCATAAAAAAGGGAAATAATAAATTCATAGAAATTAAACCAGCAATAACACAAGTTGATATAGCAAACAGTTTCCTTTTTACACATCCAGCAGATATGATACAACATATAATATTCAGTTTCCTTTTAGCTCTGCTTTTGGTTTTACGTTCTAGCTAAATGCTAACTTTGTCTGTTCAGTGGGTTTTTAAAGCTGTTTTTCCGATAACATCTGCCTGCTACGGCCTAAAACAACGCACTGACAGAGGTCTGAACTATGCAAAGAAAGAGGTTACTGTAAACTTGTGGTCAAAAAATCAAAACAATGAGTTAAAAGACCTCCGTAGACTGAGGGGAACTGAAGAGTTGAATGACAGTTATCTGTGGTTTCATCACTACTACGAATTACCTCTTTCACATGCAAGTAGTCGAGTGATAAAAATATTGATTATAGCACCTTTCAAGTTATAAAAGCTGAATGGGAGCATAATGAAAGCCAAAATCTACCAGAAAAATAGCAGATAGATATGGACTCCAATGCATGAAATCTCTCTGCATGTATGTATGCATGTGCATCTATCTTCTCTGCATGCATGTAAGGTAAAGAGAAGAGTCAGGTAAAGTAGGACCCAAAGCAGAATAGAGAAATGGTGCTCCAGAAGGTCGACAGAGATGCGAGTCGTGTCAGAAAGTACATCTGGAGATATTTTTATATGTGGATAGCTTTGTCTCCTAACCGAGAGCCACTCTCCAATTAAGCTGCAAATTGCTAATTAGCAGAACGTAGAAAACGAACGCTTTATGCAAATGAGGCACTGACTCAGCCTGCTTGACAAATGAGGCCTTTCTGCATAAATCAAAATTGGAGAGAAGATCCCCAAATTGAGGGGAAAAACTGTTCTTTTTTTTTCTTTTTTGGAGAGGTTCAAAGCCGACTCTGGTATAAGCCTCTTTCATGTTTCCTCAAGTCAAATCCTTCTGTATTTTACTGGAGGGGGGGAGGAGAGTGAAGATGAAAAAGAGAGCAACTGTTTCTTTCTCTTTTTCCCCTTTCTCCCGCCCTCCCTCTGTCTGGAGACGAGAGGAGCTGTGGTGTTCATGTCCTTTAACCTAGCCCGAGGAGAAACCCAGGAGAAGTTGAGATACTTCTTTTAAAAATAGGGTGAAGAGTGAGAGCAGAAAAAAAGAAGAGAGGGAGAGAGAGAGAGGGAAAGAGAGGGTGAGAGGGAGAGAGAGGGATGGACAGAGAGTCAGGCAGATAGAGAGAGATGTAGAGGCAGACAGGAGGTGATGGGAGAAAGATGGAGGAGAATATCCAAGTGCTTCTTAAAATATAAACAGCCATCGGCTAACATTGCATCGCTCCCTCTCTCTCTCTCTCTCTCCCCCCGGTTTGCAGGCTGAGCGGCTGCACCGCTTCAACCTATAAACAATGGCTGATGATGATGGGTGGGGGGTGATGTGTAAACAACACCACAGCAACATGCAGGATGAGAAAACGCGGCGAAAGATGGGTATTTTTTGGGCATATTTACCAGGATGTTAAAATAGCCTATGATTCACTGAGAGGGATGCGGGCGAAGGCGGCGCAGCGGCGTAGAAGATGAGGAAGAAGAAGTGTGGTTTCCCCCCATGCAGTCCCCTTCCTTCCGCAATACTCACGGTGTCCACAACGACCCGCAAGACGCACACCCGTCCAAATTTGTTTTATTGCAGCCTCCTTCTCTCTTTTCTCTTCCTCTCTCTCTCTCTCTCTCTCTCCGTTGGCGTTTCTCAGTGTCTCCTCTTCTCCCCCTCTCTTCGCTGCTATAGGGGGGCTTGTATTTTTTTTTTCTGAAAGGACAGTTGGATTTTCGACGTCAGACACACACACACTGGAGCAGCACCGTGTCTTACCGTTATATTCCTGACGAATACATATCTATTCTGCAACCTCTGCATTAATTATTTAATGAATCACGTGACGTGTTGGTCGGGGCGGGGGGTGTGAGGTGGGGGTGGTGTGGGGGTAACCGTGCGCCTCTCCGTTCGTGGGACCCATCCGGACCAGCGCGTGCATGCAGGAGCGCTGTGTGATGCAGTTAAAAAATGAACATAAAAACAGTACGGGAGCACTTGTGCTCACCTTTCAGCCTTTTCAGTGGCAGGCAATGAGTGCTGTGTGTTAATGTGTGTGTGTGTTGTGGTTGTGTGTGTTGTGTGTGTGTGTGTGCTATAAACTGTAAGGTAAAGCAGGGCTAGGCCTGTGACAGATGCACGGAGAGGCCGATAAAAGATGATTGTCAAAGACTATGTTCGTTTTAAAAAATGACTGCACGCCTCAGACTCTTTCTTCGTTATTCCTCACTGTCATCTCTTTCTCAGCTCGCCGTTAGTCGGCAGAACAAGGGGGATTCCTTATAATGTCCTGTCTTATATTTCAATGTATCTGTTTCCAGCAACTGGAAATATTCGATGATGACATTTTATCTGACTGTTGTGCATCACGGCGGCTTTTATTTCTCACAATCGGTGTCCTGTTAGCGCGTCCAGGAGCTAAACTGAATATTTAACAGCCACAAAGACTAAAGTCAACTGTGTCAGTGAAAACAAATCACTCAGAATTGTTTGTTTAATTATTATAAATCCATGTTGCGCATTGAAATGTGAGAATAGAGCGACTGCAAGAGAAAACGTCTGATC